AAGATTTCAACGCAATACTGAGTCGCTAAGAAGGAAATAAATGTGTGAAATCATACTTTCAGGATTCGGTAGTTTCGAGCTCAATAATAAATTTTGAAATTCGCCAAAAGAAAATTATCAAAAAGGGTTTTTACTTAGGAGTCGGTACTCTATCATTAATAAAGAGAGATTCAAATTACTGGTAAGTGATCAAAATAGTAAAAAAAGATTACGTGATTTTGGCACGTTGCAAGGTTTTAAGAGCAAATGTATGTTCTAATACGTGCTTAGAATTAGCGGACTTGGAAGCGTACGAATATATCACAGCCAAAAAATTGAGATACACTCTTCCTTCTTGCCTACAACCCCTAATTTTTAACCTCTACCAAGAATGTTCCTTAAATGATCAGGAACGTCACAAATCAAAGATTGTTCGATTTCTTCCGTTTTAAGCCTGTCGCTCCACCGCCACTTTACCAATTTCTAAGAACTACGAAGCTATTTCGTCCTTAGTATAGCAGTAAGATTGTGTGAAAGTTTCATCAAAATCCATGTGGTATATAGAGGGGAAACTGTTTTTGCTTGTTTCTAATAAAATTTATTCGTGTCGCAGATAACAGAACATTCTCTCGATACCACAATGCTAATGAAGGTGTTCCCCAGCGATCGCTATAGTCTCCAAGGTTGTGACTACATTGCGAAAATTTTGAGCATGAATGTTCACTATATAACGAATGTCATTTTTTGAACATTCACGAATGCGAATGCGAATGCAAATATCTCCTACCGACATTCGCGAATGCGAATGTAAATATTCAGTTTTTTTTCTGGCGCCAATTGTCTATGGCAGGCCCAAATAAATAAACGAGTATCTTGAAAATGAATTTTGTCACGTGCCAAAATCACGTAACCATTTTTTCTATTTATCACTTATCAGTAATTTGAATTTCTATTCATTGATAATGAGTGCCCATTCCTAGGCTAAACCCTTTTCAACGATTTTCTTTTTGCAAATTTAATAGTTTATTGATTGTGTAATTTCACTCGTATTATATCTTTATTTCTCAGCGATTCAGTATGGTGTTGACGATCAGAAAAAAAACTCTGTAGTTTTTCTAGGTTAGCTGGTTTCCTATAAAAGATATCTTCTTCAAGGCCACTCAAGATTCCTTCCTCTAGAACGTTACGTATTCTGTGTGATTCGCTTCTCAGTTTCCGTTGAGGTCGTGGTGCAGGGGTCATTTTGTCGTTTTCCGGACTCTGGGATATTAGGGCCCAAGCGCCCATTCATGGACTCGCACCCGTTTCTTTTTGTTGTGTAACTTAAGTTTAGTTATTTTGGCTTGGGTGCTACGTCTTCCATTTTTTTATGGGATTTTGACCCTCAGCGGTAAGTTCTTTTTTATATTCTTCGGACCGCGTGCCTTAATGCGTGTCCTGACGACATTCGTTGAATATCTGCTTTCTTCTTGTCAATAGAAACAGAACAAAATCATCATCTTTTCTCCTCCAGTCAGTTGCGTCGTTGCTCGTTGCAGTTTTGAAAAAAACCATGTTGTGAACAGGTAAAATATAATTCTAATTAAGAATTTCATAGATCTTTATACATTTATTATTGCTTATTGAAATTCATAGACACTTGATTTTATTGGACATTCAACGTATTCAAATATGGGGGCAATGCCTACATGGCACCTTCTATTACATTGATCATGATTTTGATTTTTGAGCTGCCACAACTTTTTAGAACAAGGGTATATTAGTTTAGTACATTTTTATATTCTTTTTTTTGCATTTGCTTTACTTTTCTTATATGAAAAAAATGTACATGGTTTTGCTTCAAGGGCGATTGTTTTCAATGAGTAGTTTTATCTGAGACAGAGAGTAGAGTAGATTTTTAAACAGTCTTTCTCTCTCTAGGGTTTTTATTTGTGTTGGCACCATAATTTTTGGGACCGAGGAAAGCATCTGCGGCCCAGTGACGTGCCCACTACTGGCCACTTTTTTACCAGATTCGAGGACATATCAGCCGCGCCTGACAAAGAAGACCTACAGGTTTAGTATTTAGCCGCAAAATATCTGTAAATACTTCTGGCGTGTACCATGGTAGACGTTTCGCGAGGTTATCTCGAAAAATAATTTTGTCAGGTCGTATTTAAGATTTGTAACATACGAGTATTTTCTCTTTTTCATTAATCGCACTCCAGTGGTGGAGCACATGTGCGTTTTTTTTTTTAATCAATATATTGTGATCCATTTGATATCTTGTTTATTTGGCTCTCTCTGTGTGTACTGTTACTTACACTTCGTCATCTCTGTTAGATTCTCCTTTTGTGTGGTGGTCAAGCAAAACAAGTTCCGACTTACATCTCGGAGAGTTGTGGCTTAATCCGTCCTAAGTCACTGGCGCTCTTAACCCACCCCTACTCTCCGCTTTATTGAGCTAGGGCCTAAATTTGTACGCCACTAGACAACTGTTTTGCTTGGACCAACCGTTAGATAGTATTTATCATTGTGTTTTATTAAATATCCAAAAAAGGCGTGGCAATTTACTAATGGATGCGAGCGACATCGAAATAGAAGATATACCGCTTAATACTTTTCAAAACCCGGTTCATCTTTTAATTTGTAAAACCTACACAGAATGCTCAACAGAAAAACGCATGTTTAGTGGCGCTGGACTTATTTACACACCACATCGAAACAGATTTGAAGGAGACAATTCGTTGAAGCTTTTATTTTTAAAGTTTAATATGCCTCTACTGAAGCTTAATTATTAACTTAATTAATAATTTCTAAGAGAGGTATTTCTGTTTGAGAGTCTATCTTTTTTAGACTATATTTTTAGTTTATTGTAGAAGAATATAGCTTTGGTTTGATTAGGCACTATATTTTTCAGTTTTATTGACACTTTTTTATTACCTTGGACTGTATGTATGTATTTAACGGAATCTTTGACCCGTTGACCCGGCAACACGTCTATGGGAAAAGTGGTTTCGGTTAATTTCGCTGAATTTTTGATATGTTATGCGCCTTCGCATCCTGAACAAATGTTTCAATGGGCACACCCCCTCAACCTCAACGGCTTCCAAGATACCTGTATATGCAGTCCAAGTAGGCATAGTGGAGTATTTGCTTTAAGTGAAAGTGTGCTTACGGTAATTTTGCTGAATTTTTCATAGGTTATATGTCTCGGCAAATATCTTGGTGAGCAGAGACCCCAAAACTCAACGGGTCCCAAGATATAGTGCGTCCAAGATGTATTGGTTATTCTCGAATATATGCGTTAAGTGAAAGAGTGGTTGCCTTGATGGTCACAGGCCCCAAAACTCAGTGTCCCAAGGTATAGGCCGACCAAGTCGGTATAATGGGATGTCGGATTTACTCAGCTATCTGCTCTATCGAGAAGAGTGGTTTCGGTTGATATGATATGAATAATTTTTTAAATCTCATGTATCGCGTGCTCCTGAACACATGCCTCAAAGATCACATATAATTGGAACCACATCCCTTTTCCGTTGGGGTTGAAAGAATTAAACTCAATGAGGGTAGACCGACAAATCTGTTAACCTGCTACGACTCAACAAGAGCGATGACAGTGACGGCTCCTTGTTTATTTTTCTATATAAGGGAGACTGCTATATTCAAAATCATGAAAGATGACTATTACGTCATAGCATGAATTATACCGGAGTAATCAATGGATGTACGTCGACGATAAAATCACGATGTCAGGAACATAATGACAACTTTATATTATGATTTTGAAAAGTTAGGTTATTTCAATGATTATTTTGATTTTCATTTTATTTCATGGTTTTGAGCGATACCTTAATAATAATTTTAGTGGGGAGTTTTTGTTTTGAAAAAAACAGTTATGAGTAGAATACCTTAAGACAGGAACACCAAAGACCAACGTATTATTCGAAAACAACCTAACCTGATTTAACATAATCTAACTATTCATCTTTCAAATATGATCGATCATGCAACATGAAAACATCGCCTATCTTTGTCGGGTACATGCAGCATTACGTGTAGATTTTCAATTTTGAGCTGTGCAGTTTGCATTTTATACTATAGCAACGAGCATGGCGCAACGCATGCCATGTTACGTGGGTAATGGAGTTTTCGCTATTCGAACGATGCGACTTGCGAGAAACTTCAGCAATCCAAAAGTGGAGATTGCTATGAGGTACCGTGAGGAGCTGAACTACTCTGCTTTTGTGATAAACGATATATCACGTGTTTGTTTTAACTGTGACTTACTACTTATACGGGACGAAGCGGCCTTACAAAATCCCGAAAGTCTTAGGTTGAATGTCGTTAGACAAAAATCGTCTGAAACATGTATGATATGTAATCACCTGAGTATACATTTGCACCGGCGTAGTATTGAGGCTCGAGATGAAATATATTTGGAGAGTAACATTTACGTCCCTCAGGCCTATGCCTATCAATGCATTTATTCAGGACGTCGAGACACATAACATATGAAAAATTCAAAGAAATTAACCGAAACCGCTCTTTTACTTATAGCAACTTAAATCTTATTATAATTTTATTTTGAGGCCATTAATTATGATTGATTGTTCGACCATCTACTACTGTAATATCCTTGCAATTGAAAATTGTTGTCTACTTTTTAATCTGGTCAGCTATAAAAGCGTGTTTGGTTAGTTTTTTTTAAACTATTATTTATTCAAGATGATGATTATCTAAACATTAAGTTAAAGTCTGATGAAAGTTTTATCGAAGAATTGGTTTTTGTTTGTTTCAACTGCATTTAATTTTTGTGGCACAACTTCTAGCGAGAATTTAATGTTTAAGCTTTATTAAAGTAAAAGAAATTATTTTATTTTTTTTGTTTAAATTATTTATTTATGACTCTTATGTTAAGTATATACGATGACTCTGACACTCGACAGAAATGTCAACAGTAGTGTCGCTTGCGTCTACACGGTAAGAAATTTTTTGTGTCGACATTTGTATATGTATATACATCTAGTATACCGGTTCAAGTGTATTTGCCGTCTACACTCTACACGATTCAGATACATTTCATCTCCATGAATAGACGTGCTGCTGCCGCGATCGTCGCGATATGTGTTTCCATTAAAATGCGTCGGCGTAAAAAGAGATCTATCTGGGTTAAAGATTGGATTAAAAGAAGAGCGCAGCTAGGGGCATATAACCAATTGTTGACTGAATTGAAAAACGAAGATCCAGAATGTTTTAAAAACTTTCTTCGGATGACACACGACGATTTCCAATATTTATGTAACAAGATTTCACCTGCGATTAAGAAGCAAGATACGAATATGAGACTAGCTATTAGTGTAGAAGAACGTTTGGCGATAACATTAAGATTTTTGCCATCAGGTAAATCATATTTTTACACCTTTTACTACATTTTCAATTATAACATTTACTTTATTCTTTCAGGAGATTCGTATCGATCGCTCCCATACCAATTTCGGGTACCACAACAAACTATCTCCAAAATAATACCAGAATGCTGCGATGCTATCTATAGATGTTTAAAACCAGATTACATGGAGGTAAGTAAATAAAAAAGACATTTGTGTTTTATTAATATTTTTCTTTAGCTATTAATATAAAAGGTGAAGCTTGGTCAATTGACAAACTTAGTACAGATGTTCGTACGTTGTGTCTTCCGAACTTTCCCAAGTCACATTTGGCAGTGGAGTAAGAGGACCAAGAGACTGTGACGTAGAAGGACGTGAATATTGATCGGCTTCATCCAATTCTTCCATGTCCAGAATGATACGTTGAATTTTACGTTTTAATTCTCTTTTTCGGGATTCCGACCTCAAAATTCCGTATCGCAGCAGCCACGAAATCACCAAAAATGGCAGCATCATCAGATTCAGGCTAAAGCTTCATCTTCCTTCTTTCGTTTTTTAGAGGTTCGTTGAGATTGAGAGAGGGTGTTGGAGTTTTGCGAAACTGTTGATTCCAAATTTTCGTTGTTGGCAGGTTCGCTGTTGGTAGGAGAGTTCTGAAAATAATAATAATAATAATAATAATAATAATAATAATAATAATAATAATAATAATAATAAATGCTTATTTCAGTCATAGAATAATTTATTTTTAATTTTTATTACAGGTACCTTCATCTGAAGAATGCTGGGAAAAAAATTCAGAAGATTTCAAAAACAAATGGAATTTTCCAAATGCTCTTGGAGCACTAGATGGAAAGCACGTGGTCATAAAAGTACCCCAACATAGTGGGAACGTGTACTATAATTATAAAGGTACATTCAGCATTGCGTTAATGGCATTAGTTGATGCCAATTACAAATTTATTTACACAGACATAGGATGCGAAGGGAGAATCTCCGACCAAATATGTACCCTATGTCATTATAGCTGATGATGCTTTTCCATTGAAGGCTTATCTTATGAAACCTTTTCGTAATCAACCTGGTCCTAATCGTGTTTATAACTACAGACTGTCGAGAGCTCGACGAGTGGTAGAAAATGCGTTTGGTTTACTTGCAAACAGATTTAGAATATTAAGGAAACCTATAGAATTATGTCCTGAAAAAGTTATAAAACTTGTATCTGCAATCTGCGTGTTGCATAACTTTCTCTTGGAACGGAATTCAAGGCATGTGTATGCACCACAAGGCACCTTCGACGAGGAAATTGATGGTGTAGTAACTCCTGGCAGTTGGAGACAAGATCCCCCTCCGGAAAATGTATTGTTTTCAAATAGACCAGTGGGATCCAACATGTCTAATGAAAGTAAAGAAATCCGTGAAGAATATACAGAATATTTTGTACCTCCTGAAGGCGAAGTTAGCTGGCAGTACAGATACATAAGTGGAAATTAATAATAAAGACAACTTACCAAATTTTGTTGTGTGTCATTTGCTGGTACGCTGTTTGGCATTAAAAATTGTAAGCTTGTGAAGTACTCCCAAGTGCTGACATAATTTTCATCTGTGCCATGACCACTCTTCTTTTTTTTTGTTTTCTCAGTTCGTTATTAAACTGCGTTCGTAAATTGTGCAGTTCCCTATTTATTTCCGATGCAGAAGTATACTAAGTGACATATAAATCCGAACACCCAGTTTAAATGGTTTTATTTTAATCAAATTTTGTATAAGTACTTAATGAAGCATAATAAGTAAATGATAAAAATTTCAAAATGATTGCACTGCTTTAAAGCCCTTTGACCTTTAATAATGTGTGGATGCACCCTGATGTGCTACGCATTCTCCAACGCGCCTAGGCATGCTTCTGATCAGGTGGTCAATGTCCTCCTGTGGTATCTCATTCCAGGCAACCACCAACTCCTCTCGAAGTGCTTCTAGAGTCTGAGGAGGACGTTGCAAATTGAGCAATCTCCTACCCATCATATCCCACACGTGCTCAATTGGGGATAAGTCGGGAGATCTTGGTGGCCATGGTAACAATGTGACATCATTATGTTGAAACAAATCTATTGTGACTCTTGCAACATGTGGTCGGGCATTATCTTGTTGGAAAGTTGGATCTGCCAGGGTGTCAAGATAGGGTAAAAGATGGGGTTCTAGAACTTCGTGGATATAACGCTGCGCGTTCATGTTACCTCTGATGAAGATTAAAGGTGACCTGGAACCATAAGCTATAGCACCCCAAACCATAACTCCAACAGTCTGATGAACATGTCTTTTAACAAAAAACTGTGGATTCCTCCTTTCACCACGTCGCCTTTTAACCCTGGCACGACCATCGTGCATGCTTAAACAAAATCGAGATTCGTCACTAAAGACAATACTGTTCCATTCCTGATCCCAGAGTGACCGTTGTCTGCACCACTCAAGGCGATTACGTCGGTGTTCTCGAGTTAAAGGGAGGACCCAGTGTGGCCGGTATGAAAACAAGCTAAAACTTCTCATTCGTCGGTAAACACTTCGCATGCCAATAGGTCTTCCGTGTTCTGCAAACCATTCATTTGCAATGGACCTGGTAGTGGAGAAACGGTCCCTTAAGGCCAATAATCTTAGGCGGCGATCTTCACGGTCTGTTATTCTACGGCGGCGTCCAGTGCCCCTTGCTCTTTGCGTACGGCCTTCTCGAAGCCATGCCTGACAACACCTAACCACAGTGTCTACACTTCTTTGCACTCTAACTGCAATTGCCCGAAAAGAAAGTCCAGCTTCCCGCAGTCCCACTGTACGGCCCCTATCAAACTCACTAAGTTGACGAAATTGTACAGGTCTCCGTACTCTAGGCATCGTAACCGATCGTAAGGGATGTCAAGAACCAAAATCCGCCAACGTTGATTCTTTACTGCGGCTGAAATATTCATTTTTAGAGCGTTAGTGAATTAAAAAAAAGCAGTATAAAAACCGGAATGTCCAACTGATAAGGCTGAAAATTTTTTCACTTGTTATTTACAGTAAGATAAATACATTCACCAACTTCTATTAAAATAAAACCATTTAAACTGGGTGTTCGGATTTATATGTCACTTAGTATATTAAATTGTTCGGCCAAGCTTTCTACCGCAGCTGCTTCCTTTACTCGATTCTTATAATCAGGATTTGACATTTGCCATAGTTCTGGGAGCGCTTCAAAATATAAATCAATGATTTTATTTCCTCAGCTGACCACGCGCGTGACGTCATTAGTGAACCAAAAAATTTCACGTACACGTGAAATACTGACACTCCTGTCGGACAGCGCTATGCTTCCTGTCTCCACGGCAGCGACACAGACACTGAGCGACACCGTCACTACATCTGCAACTAAGTGTCGCGGCGATGTACACACACAGACATTCGATGTATACACTTAGTGTCTGGTGTCTAGTGTCGTCGTGTATACTTAACATTATAAAAAATGATTATATTTTATTGTAGAAGAGTACTGTATTTCTTTGATTATCATTTTTAGTTTTGTTCAAGAAGTTAATAATAATAATAATAATAATAATCGTCTTTATTTAAACTGTACAATTTCATACAGAGAAACAAGAGTTGCATATGGTGGCGAAGTTTAGCAACATGCTACTCTTACACTTAACCACCCATGCAAAAAAAAGTTGTTAAGTAGCAGATATCAAACAAAATATATACATATATATACACATATATACATACACCAAGGTTTACAATATGTACAGAAAGGAAGTAAAGAAACATTTAACAATATGTATATAGCAATCTAATTAAGACTATGGATCAAAGCAGATATGAGATTTGACACCCTTCTTGAAGCAATTTAAGGACATGGTTTTTAATTCAGGACTCAAAGCATTGTATAACACTGCAGCACTGTACGTAATATAAAATATCACAGTAGTTGAAAATCGGCATAACCAAAGATGAGCACAGTTTTTTCCTTAGCTTATAATTGAAAATTGCTTTATTGGCATATAGTGATCTCAGTCTCAAGTAAGTTTTCTCCAAAATATTTTTGACATGACTGGTGAATCTAAGTTTGAAATCGATTACCACGCCAAGAATTTTAACCTCATCAACCGGGTACAGTCTTTGAGATTCAATCTTAATAGCTAATTGACTTTTGATTTCTTCTCTCCTACGATCCGAACAAAAAAATAGCAGGCTGAATTTACCAGGACTTATTGACAGGTCGTGGTTTTTCGAGGAGTCATACATTTATTGAATATCATGGTTTATTGATGTCTGTGCCATTTCCATATCATCAGTATCAAAAAAGTGGACCAGTTGACTATCGTCCGCAAAAGACTGGAGTTCACAAAAACTCAGAGCCTTAGGCAGATCGGCAATATATATCAAAAACAACAACGGACCCAAAACAGACCCCTGAGGTACTCCAGACGAGATTTCTAAAAAACTGGATTTATTGTTATCACTTGATACACACTGCGATCGATTTGATATATAATTTCGAAAAAAGGTCAATGCAATTGGATCTATGCCATAATACTTCAACATTGCTAGTAAAAACTCATAATTTATGTGACATAAAAAACTTGAGTAAAAACTGATAAAAATTTAATAAAATAATTTTCTTTTGTTTGTTTACATTGCATTATTTATGAGACATATGAGAATTTAATTGTTAAGCTTCATTGCGCAAAGTAAAGTAAATAAATAAATAATACAAAATGATTAAGAGTATACTGATAAAGTGATTACGATGTTAAGTTATTTCTCTTGTGTTAAAAAACATAATAAATGGATGGTTTTTGTTTTTATTAACCTAGTATTATCTAATAATTGTATTTTTTCTGATATTCATATTCGCAAAAATTTTGACAATGCGAATGCGAATTCTAATATGCAAAAATATGCGAATATCTTTCTGCCCTCTTAAAAAAATGAACTACCGCTATCTTCTAAACAAGCTGTAGAAACACTTATTTGATTTTGTTTGACGTGATCAGAGTCATAAGGATTGCAATACAACATGATTTCATGAGTAACTAGACTTAGCTATCGAACCGCCCAAACGCATTTGTATCTGTAGTTATAAATTGTCTTTTAAAAAGCGTGTTGTATATCTACGCCAACGAAAAAAAGTAGGACTTACACGATCAGTAAATCCTTACAAAGGCTGGCAAACGTGAAACAGCAAGCTTATCTTATAGATCATTATTGACAAGATAAACGAATTCTCAGCATGCGATTATGTCCAATAGTAAGTAATTGAATTTAGGTCATTTAGAACAATTCAAGCCATTATGTCGCTCCTATCGAATTTGCATTTCAATGGCTCACGTGAAAGTAACAGCAGATGATCTCAAAGATTAAAAGTATATAACAGTATCATAATCACGACAGAAGGTGGGACGTATCGGTATCTTGAGGCTTGATCAGGTGTTAACAACACCTCGATGCATCCTATCGTCAGGTTGAATCTACGAAAATGGTGGTCTTGAGAACATGTTAGCACATTCGAAATTGAATGAAGTGAATATGATGATCATTGTGTTAAATGAATGGCATAGTGTTCCAGATTATATAGGTTCATATTTTTGAAATACGCTTAAGTAAAGTAGGGCTTTGATTCAATGACTCAACGAACTGAATTCCGCAAATGGTGTTCCCTACAATTAAAAAAATAATGGATGCAATTAACAAGATTATATGGACTCCTATGATGTTCCTCAGGGAACTTATCTAAGCTCTTCGTTCTGTTCTCTTTGTAATTATTTGTTCTATGCTAATATTCTGAAAATCTTTTCAAATGATATTCTCAATGCTTCTTATTGCAGCAAAATCTTGGTTGTTTAAATGGGTGAAGCGTTGTCAATTAGCTTAATTTAAATGATTCCAAATGTCACGTGTTGTTATAAATATATAAATGACAATCCAGTCTGTTCTGAATACAAAATTAATGAAGTCTAGAGAGAAAATGCCTTTCACGGCATTAGTATGTGGTTTGTAACAAGTCTCAGTTTCAAGAGGAATTCACAGCATAAAGTCAATGGAGCTGCAAGAATGTACGGATTCATAGTAAGAAACTGAATATTCTCCACCAGTCTTAAAGCTTTGAAAACAATACATCTGTGCTAGATATAAAAATGTGTGTGTCGAATAAGGACCTTAGTTTTTAACTTTGGATCACCCCTTTAGTCTTAGTCTTGTATTTGCACCTTATTTTACCCTTGGTTACACCTCACTGAATGCTTAATAGTATATATGTACTTTACCTATGGTCCTAGTTTTTGGACCTGTCTTATGGCCTTACTTTGGACCCTTGCCGTGTCTTCGTCCACCGATCTACGAGTCTAGGCAACTCCAGCCTCAACCTTCCATCAAGCATGGGAAGATAATACACAGTTTTTTCTTCACTGCATTATACAGGGTGTACTTTAATTGATGGCTAAAAATATAGGATATGGTTGCTTA